ACCATGACTTTAATGACTCACAAGCAATGATTCCCTGCATACAAAATTACGGCAGTATTATAACGACAGTAAAGACAGCTGTACGCGCATCCATAACAATACAGCACTATATTTTTCGAATTTTCAAGTGAGACAGCTTTGGAAAGCCGTATCGCGTGAGCTTATACCGAGCATGCGTATTAATGAGCCGCGCAGACGAGCCCATACTCCCAAAATAAATTGTGAATATAATGACATGCAATGGAATAATTACACGCTATAATACCTCAATAACGTGAAAATTTTGGCAAAACTTTAGTAAAGTAGCAAATCGCCTTCGAACGCCCCTGCAGCACGGATGCTAGTTTTTCTTTCAGTTTGCTGGCATCACTACCTTGTTATGTTTAAACGCAAACCTAAAGATAGAGGCAGGCGTAGATTAACCACAATTTTTGAGGGAGTCAGTAGACTTGAAGAACAACAAAACAATGCTCTCTCTCAGAAGTACAAACCTCGCACGTACACTCCCCCATCACATCGAGATCAATACAAGCCGCTGGCTCGCGCCACCAGTGATGACACCCATTTGAAGCGCCTGATTGGCACTCTGATTGGCAAGTATGATCCCACACTTAACAGTTCGCTGGACTATCAACTTGCAGGTTTTCTCACACTTTCCGCACAGGTTTTTAGTTATGACACCGCATTTCACCGTGAGCTCCCTTAAAGACAAAATCCTAACAGGGGTTCATGGTAGTGTTACTCACGACGCTGTTCTGTCTTTCTTTCAGACGCTGCACAAATTGGGAGCAGGTAGGTTGGTACATGAAATTAGACGTCGTCAGCTTCACAAACACGGCAAGGAGGTGGTAACACGAGTCGCACTTGTTCATCTCGCGGCTCCGGTATTGGCGACATAGGTTTTTGATTTTGGTATGACCTTATATGACCTTGCATGACCCATTGTGACCTCAATATGCATTATGATATAAATGTTCGGTGTTTTTTCAAGTTCTGCGGCAAAAGTTACCTACTTGAACTGCCTATGTTGATTTCTGTATATGCTTTGCAAAAGGTACCCATAGAAATAGGTTATGACCTGGGCCAAGGTTATTTTCTCTGGCCATACAGCGGTTGCTCATGTAAGTTAGTGCTCTTTTCCTCATACAAAACACCAAAACTACACACAAATATCAACAAACAGCGAAAATCGACCGTGGTTTCAAGTCAATGACCTCGCATTTCCCGAAAAATCTGAAATACACAACTTGTTGGTACTATCAGTTTTGGGTTGCTATGCCAGGTTTTCACAATGAGAAATGACCCAGAAAAAAGTTACGGTTAGTCAAAGCTTTTTAGAGGTTGATCTTGTTGACCTGACTTTGTAACTGGTCTTGTTAGATCAAAACTTGAAATACGCGCAAAGGATACCAGATTGATACATAAACAGGCACTGAAAATTTCGTGTTACTGCGAGTGTTCGTTTTTGGCACATGCTCCAAAACCCTTGGGGGGGGGAAGTCAACTCACCCCCCCCCCCGTCCGGGCGCAGGTTAAAAAACCTTTGGCGCATTCGTCTATTCACCAGTGATCGCGCGCATAAAAAGCAAAGTAAGTGGTCGTCGCGGCATCATACACGCGTGCAACGGCCACCGTGATTAGCTAGGGATGACCTGACATCCTGTGTTACCATGTGACCACTTCACTGCACATCGTGTGGCCACGGATGACCTGACATCCTGTGTTACCATGTGACCACTTCACTGCCCATCGTGTGGCCAGCGGATGACCTCACACCTTGTGTGTCATGTGATCAGTTCACTACAAATCGTAGGGCTATGGACGACCTCACACCTTGCGTTACCATGTCACCAGTTCATCACACATCGTAGGGTTACCAATGACCTCACTCCTTGCGTTACCATGTGACCAGTTCACCACACATCGTAGGGTTACGGACGACCTCACACCTTGCGTTACCATGTCACCAGTTCACCACACATCGTAGGGTTACGGACGACCTCACACCTTCCGTTTCCATGTGACCAGTTCGCTACACATTATAGGGTTACGGACGACCTCACACCTGGTGTGCCATGTGACCAGTTCACTACACATCGTGTGGTTCTGAAGCTGGAGCTTCGCAACTGATCTTCGTTGCATTATATAAGGCTAAGGCTGCGCCTGACACGTCCTTGGAGACACGACCAAAGAGTCAGCTGTCAAGATATACAACTTATACAAGCGAGGCGTGCACTTGAAAACGTCACTTTTAGGGGCTGATTTTTACATTTCATCCGCAACACGTTTATGAGTGGCATAGCTATTGGTGAATGGTATCAGTCGAAGTTGTAACCGTCTAGACTGAAACATTATGCCCTTTTAGCAATATTGGACCATTGTTAATCAATGTATTGCTGGTGCAAGCAATGTATGTCGGTGTACGTAATGCTCACGGGAAAGCAAAGCGAGCATGTTGCTTACCTGCGGACCCACGTTGTCTTATTGGAGGCCTTAAAATGACGAGGCCACGCTTGGCATATGTCACTTCACTCGTTTCAAAACAAAACAAGGGTGCGAGAGGTCTCTCAGTTCGCTGCGAAATGTTGTCGATAAAGGCCAACAAAGCTCCCGTCAGTTTGCCACCACAGTAGTTTACCGCACTGCAGCTCACACCGCAAAAACACTGCCGCAAATAGCGACAGGCGATTACTCGAGGATCCTTCGCATTCGAGCGCCAATGAAACGAGAAGCTGAGCTTTCACCCGGCACGCCTGTCGAATTCCAAGCTGCCACGAGCAGGCGCTTTGAACCGGCGGCAAATTAACAGACTCGTTCGGCAGTTATTTCATGGGTGGGCGACACAGTGGGCTGGGTCCCAATCGACCTCCTCTAATTTTCCGAGCGGGTGGTTCGGCCGGACCACGTCAGCGGCCCCAGTCAGTCGGAGACGCGGCCACTGTCGACGCCTGGCTGACCGATCCGCCGGCGAGCGGGCGGTTTTTCCGCCGCCGCCGCCGGCCAGCGCCAGGCCGCCAGTCCCGGGTCGCGCCGGGCCGGTCCGCGGTCGTCGGGGGCCATCTCGGGAGCGGTTCAGGCAGCGCGCCGCGCGTCGTCGGCGGCGCCGGTCGTCTGGCCGAGTGCCCTCTTTATTGGGCCGTCACGAGGCCCAGACGCCATGAAATTGTGAATCTCGGCTGTGTCAGATCAATGGCTGTGTCCTCCACCCGCGCTACCGCCGCAGCAACCGGGGCGCTGGGAGACGGCGAAGGGAAAGGGAGGATGGGGGCCGGGTAGTTGCCCGGACGGCTTGTTTACTGGCCAAACATCGGCGGCGACTGATACAGTTGCGTCGTGTTTTCTCGGCAAATTGCCGTCCTGATTAGCAGCGTCGCTTTATCATCGATGGTCAATGCGGAGAAAATGGGCGCGTGTTGACGGTACCCGGACGTCCTCGCCCGATCACGGGCTGGGTCAACACGGCGGCGACCGGCAAACAGACGGCTGCCGCGGCGCCGCCGGCTCTCCGACCTCCCGCTGGCGAGCGCCGAGCAGCGGCGCGGATCCGCGGCTGGATCTGCGGCTGCCGGCCGCAGCGGCGAGCAGCGGCGCGGATCTGCGGCCGGATCTGCAACTGCCGGTCGCAGCGGCGACACTGATGCTGCCGCCGATAGCGATTGGCTACGTGAATCGGGAGCTGGCTTTCGGGGATCGGCAGCTGACTGCCGATGATCAGGACAGGGCTAACGGGACCAGGAGCTGGCTTCCGGGGATCAGAAACTGGCTAATAGAAGCAGAGTCGGCTTCCCAGGGTCAATCCGACGGGATCGGCTGAATCAAAGACTACGAGGTGGATTCATCAGCATGTGTCTTGCCGGTGACCTTATGCCGGTGACCTTATGCCGGTGACCTTATGCCGGTGACCTTATGCCGGTGACCTCATGCCGGTGACCTTATGCTCGCCTGGGTCAGGCCCTGGCCGTCGCATGACAAGAATTGCCTACCGGCGATGGGGGTCTGGCCACCAGGCGGCGATGGAGCACTCGTTATCAGCGATCAGTACCCGAGGAACGCTTGGCAGGGCCCGGCAAGCCCCGGACCGGGATGCGGTTATGCTGGAAATGCCAGGATGATGACAGGTCGTCGTTTTCACCGATGCCAAATAACGGCTTAACGGTTTGGTCATTCTGACGCATCTTATCATGGCATGGCAAGACGGGCTACTTTTCATTCGCAGCGTGCCAACATTTAAGTTCAAGAGACGGTACGCATTCTTTAGATGTTTCTCACACGGTCTAATGTGACACTAGAGTTGCGAAACTGATTTGCGACAATGACGATGCCATACTGTAAAATGTCAAATGGCATTTCAGTAAATCGCCCACTTGAGGCGCTGGGCAGCGGGCGACGCGCCTTTCACTTTGAAAAGACTTATGACTATACTAAAGACTATATTATCTTCGACACATGCCACTCAACTGGTTCATGTGGCTCGTACCGTCTTCTAACAGAAAATTTCAGATCTATATCATGTGACATATGCATTAAATGACCTCCTTTTCGACGGCCACGGCCTAACATTTTATCACATTGCTGTGTGGCTTCAGATCGTCTCAGGCCTAAATCACGTGCATTTTATAGCCACTCGATTCTGCAACCTCCATTAGATGAACACGCCTGTGGTCAAGCAGCGGCCGCAGAATATATCACAAGCCATTGCAACATCAATTTTCTGTAAATTCGTTACGCAGAAAGATATAACTTTGTGACATAACGTAGCACATGTGAAACACGTCACAATCTGCCGAACGAATCGGAAGATGCGCTACAAAACAGTAGGCACTTAATGAAATGGTAGCGTCGTTTGCTAAATATTTCCCCTTTTTAAAAGATGCTTATGCGCGTTGCACTATTCATCCGCAGATGCTTTCCTTATGTTGCGCTGTTTCACTAAAATATGAACATTGGAACGATACTGGTGCTACGACCCGCAGCCAATGCGTCACGCAAACGTGACGCACCTCGGCACGCAGGCGCATTGACACGGCGGCCGGCATGTTGAGTCTGTGTGCGAGGTTGTGACATGGCCGTGACAGACTAGGCAGATCCGGCAAATGTCAAACGTTATTCGGGTCGAATGCAGTGTTTTAGACATCGCCTGATTAGTCCAGTGAGACTCGCTGACTAATCCGTCTAATCATCTTAACAATTCAACAGACACTAATAACTTTAATCACGTCTATTCTCTTTCTGACTTATGCATTGCTCACGGCCAGTTCACATTACATTTTTGCCACAAGTGTCACATCCATGCGTTTCAGCTGCCGAACCACCTGGACTGCGGAGCTGACGCCTTTCCCACTCTCCCGCAGACAGTGCTCAGCGAAGCCCCTCCAGGCTACCCGTGATGGCGAGTCGTGAGCGAACCTTCCGGCGACGGACCTCGTCACCCTGTAGTGAAACACTTGACGGTCGAGACGTTCCGTTTTTCATGACCTTGGCTTTATGCGCATTGTCGTGCTTGTGATTCGTGCGGTATGAATGTGCGTTGCTTTTGTATCCAGGAGGTGAGGTCGAGGCATCGATGTTTTCCTTTCAGGAGGCGAGGTCGAGCCACCAATGTTGAGTCACCGAATGAACCACCTCACCTCCTTCCAGGCGGCGAGGTCGAGCCCCCGATGCCTCCAGGAGGCGGGGTCGAGCCACCGATGTTTTGCCTCCAGGAGGTGTGGTCGAGCCACCGATGTTTTTTTTATTCGTGGACGCGCCTGGCTGAGCGTGCTGACCGTTACAGCGGAGCATCTTCAATGGCCACCGCAGCTGGTCAGCGCGGACCACGCGCCCACGAACAGCTGTCACGGAGGCATGTCATGAACCGCTGGCAATGACGACCACTGCATCGACGCGGTTCGGGCTGCCAACGGGTACGGTTGTCGTGAACGGAAGCTGAGGGCTGGTATTCCTCGCTAGAGGACGAGCCACGCAATCTTGTATACGGACTGCCAGCTGTCCGTCATGGTGCGCTGTGGCAAAACGACACTATGCGCTCCTCCCCCTCCCCCTCCCACCACTTCACAGGGCAGGGACATGGACTGTATTACCTCCGGCCATCTCATATCACATCACAGAGCAACGGCCAGTGGCCCAAGCCGTCACGACAGCGGGAGGCACCCTCACCACCATCCGCCACCCGTCCAGCCAGTGAATCCGCGACCGTCGCTGCCTTGCGACACGAGCACGCAACAGCGCTGGCCTCGGCGGAAACCATTTCGGCCTTGGCAACGGTCACCGCTGCCGTTGTTGGGCGGTGTAGTGCCAAGGCAACGCTGAAATGCATCTTAAGTGGGGTCGCGCACTCACACGTCAAAAGAAGGCTTTCATTTCGTCTGGCCGGCTGGTCCTGTTGGGGTCTGAATGCTTAACTCTTATTGCAGCGATTGCACTATGCCACGAACGATTTCGAGGCGTTCCAGTCATGAAAACGTCCAATCGCTCCCAAGTGGTAAGGCATATGGCACATCAGCAAGCATGCTTCGTCGCGCATATGGCACATCAGCAGGCATGCTTCGTCGCGCAATTCGAACGTGCATGCTGCTTCAGAAAGCCAATTGTGGCCAAGTTTAGAATAGATGTTACGAGCCCAATTTGTCCACGCCAGCCGGTTGCATTTTCTAGCAACTGATGTAGGCATTTGGAATTGTCAAAGCTAAAACTAATTGATAGGAAAGTGTAGTTGTTTTGTCCGCTGCATGCATGCAAGGTCTCAGCTTACAGCACGGCTTGATGGTGAGTCTTTCCGCCGGCGGACTGAGAAACATTCTCAAACTCACTGTCCTCAAGCACTCTGTCCCACAACACAAAATGGATCCCGGCTGAGCACTATGTCCGATTCTGTTTCAGACTTGAGCGGAGCTAACTCGCTTCATCTTCCCTGTTTCCAGCACATTGAAACATTAAAGCATCCGTCGCCATAATCGATGATGCTGTCTAGTTATAAATCAAAGTCAGATCGCGAGCTCTCCCGATCGATTCTGCCGCGACCGGGCGCACCAGCGAGCTTGTGGCGAGCCGCTCTCTGGGCACCGACCGTTCCCAGTGTCATTGCTGAGACAGAATTGCCGCTGTATTTTTGCGACTATTCACATGTGCGTGCTCACCCTTCTCATCCGCTTATTCAAAGACTTGTTCGTCAAGGAAGAGTCACGCCCTGCTGAGATTGTGCTCGCCGATCATCCAAGCAGCATTTGGGCGATGAATAGCGGACACGCTCGGTTGCCGCGTAAGCAGCTGGGTTTCCAGGGCTGTGCTGCTTAACATGTCTTCGGCAACGCCAAGTCTCTGACAATATCCTGGGCAACGTTTGCACCCACCGGAAATTTTCAGTCTCATCGATATCACGTTTTAGCTGTGAGTGATGTCACTCGGCGTAGGTTTGATGTGATGATCGGGAACGTCTAGCTCGAAGGAAGAGTCGGTATGATTGGTACCTAACATCGGTAGCAACACAACATAATCGGCTACGATTTTAGTCCATCAGAAGGGACATAATCTTAGTCCTCATTCATTTCCAGTCTCAGATTTCCGTGACTCTGTTACATGGCAATGGAGTATTAGAGTGCCCATTTACAAAACGTAGAACTTCCCTTTTAGTGTCGTTCCATAAGAGGCATTTGCCTATCCCAACGCCTTACTCATCAGTTCATCCCGCATAGGTCATTATTCGCACAAAATGAAAGCGCAGTGTTCTAGATATTCGCACGACCATATTTAGACCGTTATAATCTGATGCCGGCGGCGGAAATCGATCGGAGAGGGGTTCGGACACTCATAGTGAATTGCAGACTGTCAAGCAAAACCGGTAATATGCTTTCCAACAAAGGCAAAACACAATAGACTTTATAAGTCATGCTTTCTCTGAACCTTCTGCCATGTGAATGCACTATACCCCTGACGACCTTGACCTTCTCCAGCGCTTAAATATAACGATATGTCTTGGCTCGGTCTCTGCGCCCCTTCAGTTTAAGGTGTATTGCTTATTTCCATCCCCAGACCGCGACCGACAGTTTCTCATATCGGTGCTCTTGCCCGTCAGGGACTCCATAACCACTCGCAAGGCCAGTCAGCATGAGGAGGCCTCTAATTCCCGACGGGGCGCCGAGTGTTCGAGTGCCTCTAAATCCTGACGGGGCGCCGAGTGTTCGAGTGCCTCTAAATTCTTGACGGGGCGCCGAGTGTTCGCGTGCCTCTTTATTGTTCCAGGCCCCTTGTCCTGGGTGTCTTTCCCTTTCGCCCTCGTGGACACCCGCACTGCCTTGCACGGGTTTGACTGGCTCAGACCTGGGACGGATGCAAAGGGGAAGAATTTCCTCTCTCAAAACATCAGTCGGCTCCATAGGTCAACTGGCGCCGTTGGCTACCACGAGCTCAACGACCATCTCAGAGCTCCTGACTACCTCAGAGTCCTTAGGACAGTTGTGAGCCGTCACTTTTTCCAAATCTAGCGGTGGGCCATCATGCCAAGTCCCCTTGAAACGCAAACAAAGTTTTAAGACGAAGCTTTATTGAATGGCTTGAAATTCCGCTGGTCAACAACGTTGGTGAGCATCCATGGAATCTGCAGTCCAAAGCCTTGTATTCATTCATTAGGTTTTGGCAGACAATAGATCACAATTGCATCATTCCACAGCAGCGCTACACTCATCGCATATGACAAACAGCCGTCACAACGGGAGCTCTACGCTTGTCTCATATCACATACATGCAACCGGGCAAGTGCAGCTGAGCTGTTCTACACTTCGTTCACATCACTTATATACAACTGCGCGAGTGCAGCTGAGCTGTTCTACACTTCGTTCACATCACATATATACAACTGGGCAAGTGCAGCTGAGCTGTTCTACTACTTCGTTCACATAACATATTTGCAACTGGGCAAGTGGCGCTGAGCTGTTCTACGCTTCGTTCACATCGCATATATATATATATATATATATATATATATATATATATATATATATATATATATATATATATGTAACTGGGCAAGTGCAGCTGAGCTGTTCTACACTTCGTTCACATCACGTATATACAACTGGGCAAGTGCAGTTTTGCTGTTCAAGAAGCATTCGTCAACGTGGCGCCTCCGGCGTAAAACCAGCACGAGCAGTGTCCAGCTGCCAGTCCAACGACGCCTCCAGCGCCTCCTGACCGGACCCGTTCGTCGAAAACGGCGCGCGTTCCCGTCGGCGGCGACGTTTCATCCATCTGGCGTGGCGCGCGGGCGGAGGGCCGATTTGGCCCGATTATGCAGATGGCAGCGTGGCCGGGGCACGCTGCAGCGGCGGCGCCGCCGCCGGCCGCCGAGTCCGCAATCGGACGGCTGAGCTATGGCTCCCCCGACCGAGAGCTATCCGTCATCGAAGCCGCAGACGCTCAGCTCCATGGGCTCGGCCTCCCGGCGCGGCCGGATCCAACAGCTCGATTCTTTTGGGTTCACTCATTTATATCCGCACGTGCTTTGTTGCAAACCATTCTGAACGTAAACGAACCGAGCCCGGCGGCTATTAATCAGCTGACCCACGCACTGTGGCAAAGGAAAAACCAACGCTTTCAAGTAACAAATGGATGTTTAGAATGTGAAGTGGTGTGGTTTTGTGCGCCCTGAGAGCCAATGGTACGTCTAGATCGTGTTTTATCGAGGAATAATGAACCAGCTTCAGTGGCTGCGCAGCGGTCAATGCTTGTAGCATAATTTCCAGCCTGACTGATGTGAAGATAGTTAAAAGGAAATACCTATCTGAGCGTCTTCGCAAGTGGTTGATTGCTGCATACTTAAGTTAAATTGCATTGGCTTGAACTAAAAGGACAACCATTTCAAGGCTCTCTTCCACTCTCTCTCTCTCTCTCTCTCTCTCTCTCTCTCTCTCTCTCTCTCTCTCTCTCTCTCTCTTCTCTCTCTCTCTCTCTCTCTCTCTCCTCCTCTCTCTCTCTCTCTCTTCTCTCTCTCTCTCTCTCTCTCTCTTCTCTCTCTCTCTCTCTCTCTTCTCTCTCTCTCTCT